TACACAGACACAAAATGGAATTCATTTTGCAGAAAAAAAAAGTGTTTGTGCAAGAAAACTCAGCCACCTCAGTGCTCTGCCTGCATGTAAGTCTATAAATTGTGGGCACAGACAGCCATTGACTCCTTGATATTTACTACCAATCAGTTTATACAGGGTGATCACATGCTCCAGCTGTGTAGGGACCAGTCCTATAAGATAAGCCTTTGCACCAATATCTCAAGGACTTCCTTTGAGGAGCTATTTTGGGGTTTAGAAACTGACAATACATTCCTATGTACCTATATTTTTAAGTTATTTATCAAGTGCAAGACTAGGAGGTAAGACAAGCTATTATCAGACCAGATGTGTCATGTGCCCCACAACTCAATGCAGTGCAGAGGACATGTACCCTGTAAGATGATCTCTGCTGAGGATACATTGTACTACATCTTCCCTCCTTTATATTTGGTCACCTTAAATTTACTGTAACTAGAGAAGGGTTCTTCTAGGTCCATGATAAGTGTTTATGTGGTCACTAAAAAGAGAAGGAGAAAAGTGATCACATGGCAACTAGCCAACATAGCCATATAGACAGTGTATTAAATATCTTGTATATTAAAAAGATCTCTGTGGTAAACCTTTAGTAGCATTTCTGATAACTGCTGATCGAGAACTATGTTGAAATAGCCCCAAATTATCCTGCAAAATGAGTTTGAGTAGAACACAATCAAGGACACAGCTTAGGCTGAAAGTCAATATAGGCGACACTATGCAATGCAATTGGTTGTTGCTTTAGATATTCTTCATAGAAACACAGAAATGGCTCACAGGTGTCCTCAATAAAAAGCACAGAAACAAAGTTTACATAAAAAGCCTGTCTAGCTTGAGATGAATGCATAGACTTTCATGCCCAGCACTTCTGCAGTTCTTAGGAGAGAAATGTGAGTAATTTGCTCAATTACTAAGCATTTTTTTAAATGAAATACTAATTAGCATCATAATATTAAAACTTAGAGAAAAAAACAAATATTCTTAAAAAATAGTAACTGCTTGTGTAGTGGCTTGAAGAATTGTACTCTAATATGATTTTTCAAACACTCTCATAATAAAAAAAACCCAAAGCACCCCCCAAAACCTCCCCAAAATCCCCAAACAAACATAAATCCCTTTGAGTATTTTTATTTCAAACACTGATTAAGTTTGCATTAGAGTAGTACTCTCAGGGGCTTAATGTAGGCCCTTAATTTAGGTGCCTAAATTGTCAGGGTGATTTCCCTAACCCTCCAGTATGCTTAAGAGTTAGAAGAAGGCTCTTTGGAAAGACTTTCCCAAAAGGCATATCGACATGTTTCTGCTCTGAATTGTTATTCCAAGGTCTTTTGTTATTAAACATACATGAAAGTGAGCACACCTAGCTTCTTATGTTTATGAAGGTATGCCTGAAACGCAACAGTTTGAGCAGTCCTCTGAAATCCTCGATGGGGTTCAAGCCAAATCTTGTATCACCCCCCCCTTTTATACACTCATTTGCTTGATAGGGATCAAATAATAAATGTTCACCTGACTTCTCCCTAGCAACTTCCCATAACTTGTTAGTCAAAGCCTTGGAAACAGAGTCTTATAATTTTAATACATATTTATGCTATTCATTTGTTTCCATAGCAGGTATTTATTTTTATAAGAAATATGCAAACCACTAAAACATCTCTCATTGATTTACACTCTGAAAGAATATTTTTCTCTTAATTGAAAAAGGTCACTGTTTTCCTCATTCATTATGTTTTCTATTTGAAATTTAAATTTTTGCATTACAATATTATTTATTATCTTTCCTATTGGACAAACAAATATTAATTTATAAAAAACCCCTAACATACTCATAAATTAAGGTTAGATGTTGGATTATTTATCTACAGACATTTACTCTCTCTCTCTCTGTTGATTTACGACAAACTTTTTAAGATCCTCTCCCTTACATCTTTCATATAGCCTGTTTGCTCTGTCTCAAAGGTCCAGAAGCAACTTTCTAAACTTTTAATATCTGCATTTGCTCTTGTGTTGCATCAATCAAAATATTTTCTGAATCCTTATCCTTTGTTTTCTTGCCGAGGTGTATAAGGTGTCCAATTGCTGCCTTTGTGGAGGTTCCTTCAAGCTTACTCCCTCCTTTCTCCTCTACCAACACAGGCCACCTCCTTGTACCCGTAAACACCTGAGATCCAGTTCAGACCCTAAGGATCTGTCAAAGTGTGAGGTAGCTGTGGGAAGGCAACAATACCAAAATGGCAGAAGAGTTATTTACCAAACTGAGACAAACCTATTTAACAGTAAGTCTGAAAATAACTGGCCTACTAAGAAGCCTCCAAGAAAGAGCTAGATTCACATGAGCTATTCATGCCAAGTTTACTCCCGCCAGAGTGGTTTCTCTGAAAAGTTACTGCAGAAAAAAAATAAAATTAAAATAATGTTATGTCCACAACAACATTAGATGGAAGAGATTACACCCTAGGAGATCATCTTGATCACATACTGGTTTTACTGCTAGTATTAATAAGATTTTTAACTTAAAAGGTGAATGCCTACTTGTGGTCAGATTCTTTTCTGAAATGCAAAAACCAATCACATGCTACATGTCAATGACCAATACTTTGATGAAAAACAAGGGGTTAATATTCTCTGAAATATTAATTAAGTCAACCCAATGACTTAATATAATCAGTTCCTATGAACAGTGATATCAGCTGCGCTCAAGTTAAATAAAGGCCAGGCTTTGCAGTAACAGCTATCTAAAACATGAAATAGACTAAAAAATGGAACTAGATGCCATTTTACTAAGCATTTAAGGATTCAAAAAATATTCTCAATGAATAATAGGAACCTGCATTAAAAAACAACCTAAACACTCTACGGCTTGGAGAACAAAAAGCCTTTTCTGGACTTAATATTTGGATATATGGAAAAGTGTTAAAATATGTCCAAATACAAACATGTGTTTGTGGAAGATGAATTCAAATTTTACAAAATTAATTCACATATATCTTCCTTCCAAAACAAATCAAGCTTTTTCTATAGCTGCTTTGAATAAATAATTTAGATATGCAAAACGTTTTACAGTGATGATCTACCCAGAGCACGACATACAAAGGTTATGCACTAACTATTTCTGTAGACTCTGGATTAAAAGGCTTTGAGGTTAAATATATTTATTTACTCCATAGAGAATCTATTACGTGCAATAAAGGGAATAAGTTACAGGTTATTATCAAAATACTTAGGGACAACAAAAAACTTATTCTTTATTGTACTAAAGATACTAATAACTGAGAACTGTAAACTTTTTTTAAACAAAATCAACATGGAGTTAAAAATGGTTTCCAGTGAAAAGGGAAAAACACCCAGTAACTTTAGAAACTACCAATTATATACTTCACTCTTGGTTTATATAAAACTGTTTCACTATTAGGCAGTCCCACAACAAAATAAAAAATACCATTCTTGATGTGGTCAGAAACCCAGGAAACTGCACTAAAGCCCTTTGTTATGATTTAACATGCACAGAATTTTGAACCCAAGAAATAAAAATGTCCAAATTGCTTTTAAAGTGCTGAATTAATCCTTCACAGAGGGTCAAAGAAATGCTTTTGCTGGCTTTTCACATCCCAAGGATCCAAATTTGCAGAAGACTAGTGAAAAAGTCTAGAGTACTGTAGTGAAACTGAGAAATTCCTTAAATTTTCTAGCAAAAAAATTCCCCCTCCCAAGAGTGCACTTGCATAATGCTTTTTGCCTAACCATCTGGACAGACTCTGTGCGTCATGGTTGTTTAGCAACTTAGGGCTTTCATGGTAGCTTTGAATATATTATACCAGTATCCTATTCTCAGCCTCAAATTGTTTGGGAGGATTCTATATCTGTATAAAAACTCTTTGCATAAGACCCATTTACTCAGGATTTCCAACGCATATGAGGTTTTCTAGAAGGCTAAGTTGTTTACACTAAACACTAGGGTACAATTCCCCAAATTAATGATCTAGTGTACAAAGTTATTCCCCAAGTGATCAAACTAAGGGTGCAGACACCTGCAGTGCAGAGGCAGGACAAGCAGAGTAAGTTCAGGAGACAGCTAAGCATACAGTCAAAGTTAGGTGCACAAATCTTCATTGCAAACAACATGAATGGGGCAGTTTCTCTGAACCACAGGCCTGACAGTTATGGTATAAATATATTTTACAGATGGAGAACCTCATCATTTTTTGACAATAAATCAATTTGCTTCATGAGAAAGAAGATGTAAAAAAAAAAATCTTTGGTCTCAGTGAAAGCATAATCAAATCACCTTTCAATTTTTTATCTTATAAAACAACAATGCAGTAGGCTGAAAGCTGCTCCTAGATTTTTATGAATTTGCAAATCAAAGAGCACCTGTTTGTAAAGTGCTGCTTTGCTCAACTACTTAAATAATGTAATCAATACCAAATGACAAGCTAGAATTCCCAAATTTGCTGCACAGTAAGCAGACACTTGTCTTGCTGATGTTTGTAAAAAGTAATCCTTATAATGTTAGCCAAGGCAAATGTTATCTTTTACTCAAGCATAAATATCACATCCATATGACATCAGATATTATCTCAGAGTAAGATTATTCTAATGTTTGCAACTATTTTGTATAATAATAGCATTAATAAGGGCAATGTAAATCAGCTAAAACCTACTTTTACTACTGGGCATTTTTTTTTGCTAATGAACAATCAAAACCTATAAAAAACATATGCAATTTAAAGATCAGTGCAAACAAAATGTTTCCCAACATTTGCAAAAGCCTGGAACCAGAAGTAACCTTTCCTTTAGTTTCAATTATGTACATTGTATTCAAAGCCACTTCCTACTCAGAAGAAATATACTATTGAGATACTGTTTTAAGGATGAGGGATGTAACATCACATTTCAGAATCACAATCACAGACTATTCTGAATTGGAAGGGACCCACAAAGATCATCAAGTCCAGCTCTTAACTGAGTGACCCATACAGGAATAGAACCAACAACCTTGGCATTATTAGAACCATGCTCTAAGCAGCTGAGCTAATCCCACTTTCCTTTTGATAAAATGAAAATTGACAGTCAAACTGCCATTACTTTCCAAATAAATTAATCTATGTCAATGCTCCTCAAAGAGGCATTTCATAAAGGCCTTTATGTACACATTATCTGTGACAACAATTCTGTTTCTGGAATAAAAAGCATTTTTATCCTTAGATTTCTTTTAGTAAAAATACTTACACTGTTCAAAATTATTGAAGTATCATCTACATCAATTTCACTGTTATTGCACAAATTGTAAATTATGCTTTCAGAATTACGTATGGAATTTTAAAAGGCTTCAATTTTTACAGTCTTTTGAAAGGACAAAGAAATCTATAAAAAAGCCAAGATTACAATTTCAGCATTTAAAATCTACACAAAATAATTCAAACAAATGTTATGACATTTAAGATAATGAAACCCTTCATTTGTGCCAATGTGTCCTACTTCACATGTAAGGAGTCAGAACAGATGTCCAAATATTGTAATGCCAGAGAAAAGTTAGGGCATATCTTGATTAATACTCCCAGAGCAGTCCGTGGTGTCTCTTTAAAACTGGCATGAGTTACTTCAAAATATCTATTCAAAATCCATTCTAGGAAACACAGCTAGACAAAGTGTTCCCAAGACAAAAGGAAAACAATAAAGCTCTGTATAAGCCTTTTAGCAATGTAAGCTGCATATTATCGACAGACCATTCATTGCAATCAACAAATGATTAATTGCAAATTTGTTGCTAAATTGACCACGAAAAAAGACAAGCTTCAGGGTACTGTTAAAGAGGAAAAACTTATGTTAAAAATGATTGGAGACTTTTTGTAGTGAATTAATTCTAATCAATACTCTTGTTGACTGCACAGTGGAATAATGACTTCCTTAAATAGCATATGTACCCATTATTGTAGACATTCAAATTAATATTTAACCTAATGTCTTCCTTTTTTTTTCTCCTTTTGAAACAGCATTTTTCTAATTTCACCTTTAAGAACAACAGTCTATGACAAACAAATTTTTTGTGAAGTCTAATATAAATCTGGGAGGCATAACATGCAGGCAAAAAAAATTAGAATGCAAAAGTAATTTTTATTCCGAGTATTTACATGAAGGTCTTCTTTTTAATTACAACTGGCATGGATGAAACAACAGGTGCTTTTAAGCATATCTACTTTACAAACTTCTGAACAATTATGCAATCATTTTGTTGGGTGCAAAAGTATGATTTCAGAGTTTCCTGGATGTCCCTTTTTCCTCCTTTTGTGGATGCAGTCATATACCTAAAACTTAACCCTTTAATGCTAATTTCATTCCTGTGATGGTCAATGTAGTAGCACAAAATAGGTACAAGTTACTGCTGGGGGGAGGGTAGTACTTCTATCATACCAATAGTATTTTGAAAAGTGCTTCTCTTCTTGCATTTGACAAAAGGTCTGGTTCTCAAATTTTTCCTCAAGACAACACATTTCCATGAATTTACAAACACCGCAGTTGGAAAAGTAATAATTTATTTAAATAAGTTACTTAAATACATTCACAGCTAATGCCCAAATTACAGTTTTGACAATGAATGGACTGAATCCTATGCTTTAATGTAAACAAAAACCTTTTGGAAATCAAGTTTCCTATGAATGTGGTATAGGTTAAACTGCACAGCTGAACTATAATATTCTTTTATGTTTTTGGGGGGTTGGTGGGGTTTTTTGTTTTGTTTGTGGTTTTGGTTGGTTGGTCATGTTTTTTGGTATGATGGCAGAAGACATTCATTTCAGACACTAGAAATCTTTCTTCTACTCCTCAACTACTACAATAGTGTATATTAAACAAAAAAAAAAAATCCAAACAAACAAAACATGTATATCTATATACTTATATCTATCTATCTCAAGGAAACAAATTTGAAAATATTGAATTTTCTCAGACTCCAAAGGAAATTATAAGATTATCTAAAAAGCACAAGCAGACTATCCATAGATACAGTTCAGAGCTGCAGGTGAAGCTGTTGACTGACATCAGATTTTAAATATCTATGCAGGTCTCATTAAGTTTTCTGCTTTAAAGATCTCTGAAATATTGTTTTCTTTGAGGCATTTAAATGACATAAAGAATCCACAATGCCTAACTTTCAGCTTCTTAGCTGTAAGAGTAGAACCCAAACCCCAGATCTATACCCAAACCTCTATATATCAGTTACTTCAAAATTTGACTCAAAATCCCACGTTTTATGATTCAACTACATCTGGCCATAAGTACTCTTCACTGGAGCATTCAGGAAAGTTCCTCCCATGGCTTGGCAGCCAGAGACCTGCAAGGAGGTACTTGTATCTATTCTTTAAGAAACCTTAGCAGACCTTATACAGTAACTCCATCTAGTCCATTGTCTCGTTTTCTGTTGGGCTTAAAAGTGGATTCTTAATGCAAAATTTAGAAAGGTAAGCACGAAGTGGTACCCAGTATACTCTCTCAGGACCCCAAAATTTCTTTCTGCTAAAAAACTGGGCTGATAGGAAACTCCTGAAGTTCAACAAAAGCAAATGCAAAGACTTGCATCTGAGTGGAGTAAGGCTACCATACAAGCTGGTGTTGAGTGTCATGGAGATCTGCATAGAAGGACTGTAATGTGAACATGAGTCACCAGTGTGCCCTTACAGCAAAGAAAGCAAACAGCATCCCATGCTCCATGAGAAAGACTGTATCGACCATCCCTGCAGTGACCCTTCCTCTTCTGTTCACCACTTGGGATACCACACTGGGAGCACTCTTTTGTCTTGGGCTTCTCAATAATGGAAAGACATGGATATGGACAGACCATATCTCTAAGTATCTGAAGGGAAGGTTCAGATACTCGTGGTGATAAGCAACAGGATGAGGGGCAACAGGAAGAAACTGCTGCACAGGAAGTTCTACCTGAATATGAGGAAGAACTTCTTTACTGTGAAAGTAAACTTCTTTACTGTGACCTTGCACTGGAACAGACAGGCCAGGGAAGGTGTGGAGCCTCCCTCACTGGAGATACTCAAAGCTGCCTGGACACAACTTTGTGCCTTGTGCTCTGGGTTGGAGCACTATTGTCCGTTCCAATGCGACCGATCCTGGGATTCTGTGATACCATAATATATTCAACAGAGGGACAGCAGTCTGCTCAGGGGCTGAAGCACACACCACTTGAGCAGAATCCGAAGCAACTTGTTCAGCCTCACAGAAAGCTGGTGACAGGAGACTTTACTGCTGTCTACAGCTAACTGATGCAGAAAAAATAGATGGACTCTTGTAAGAGGCACACAGGATAGGATGAAAGGCAACAAAGAAAGAAACAAGTCAAACACTGCCCAGACAAGTTGTGCGATCTCCATTCTTGGAGGTGTTCAAGCTTCAATTACAGAAATCTCTAAGGAAAGTGATTTGATCATACTTTCTACAAGTAGCATGTTTGTCTAAGGATCTTCAGAGGATCCTTCTAAATTGAAATACGCTCTGAAAGCCAAAGTCTTTGCTGAATAGTTCTTACCAAATGTCTCTTCCATGAATTTCATTTTTAGAGTTCTGCAGTTTAATTGCCTGCTGTATAGAGAAATACTTTCCTTTGCTTGCCTTGAAACTGGAATCTAGTAGCTTCATTTGGTGCTTGCCCTTTTTATATTGGAAGAAACAGCAAACATAAATTGACAACCAACCCTCTCCTTCTAACTCCTGATTACATAAACCCTATCATCTGTTCCCTATACCAATGGAATTTAGCCTATGTAACTGGAGGCATGCAAGGAACAGAGCAGACTGATCTGGCGATTAACAATGAAGGAATTAATTCAGAAAGTCCTTCTGGTCCATTTTGCATGGATTACTTTCACAGTACAAGGAAAAGAAATTTAAATATGAAGTAGGAATAACACTTCTTGACTAACACAATGAGTCTTTACCCAGTCTGGTTCCACAGAGATAGTTCCCTAAGTTTCAAGCATAGAATTATTTCCTCTTGATTTGATTGAATATAATAGATTCACTAATAAAAGTTTACTTTAGACACAAGCTTAGGAAAATAGTTCCTGGGACCATTTAGAATAGAATTAAACAGTTGGAAGACACCTAAAAAATGGTCTCCTAGACCAACTGCCTGAACCCTTCAGGTCTGACCAAAAGTTAAAGCATGCTAATATGGGCCTAGTCCAAATACCTCTTAAACACTGACAAGCACAGGGATTCGACTATTTTTCTCTCCAGGAAGCCTGTTTCAGGTTTCAGACTGCTCTTTCCTTAAACAAACCTTTCCTCATGTTCAGTTTAACACTCCCGTGACTCAGCTTTTCACCACTTCCATGCATCAGGATACCAAGGGGAAGAGATGAGCATCTCTCTCTCCACTTCTCCTCCATCAAGAAGCAATAGAGAGGAATGCAGTCACTCCTCGGTCTCTTTTTTGCAAACCTATACAATGACAGTGTCTTTAGATGATCATCACAGGACGTGCCTTCCAGCCCTTGCACCAGCTTTGCTGTCCTTCTCTGGATGCATGTAAGCACCCAAGCAATCTTCTTAAATCGTGGGGCCCAAAACTGCAGACAGTACTCAAGTGAGTCTGTACTTCTCTAAAAGAAGTTCTGGAGTTTCATAGGTCTTCCTTCATTCCCTTCTTGTAAATTACCATTTATTTCCTTGTATTTTT